ATGCTCTTCGCTGACTCCGCCCCTGCGCTCAGACGCGTTTGTATGGCGAAGTGCGACGACGCCGTTCAAAACGCATCAAGATTCTTTCATACACTAGCTTTAAACTCTGCATTTGGTTGAGAGTGTGATTGCATTGTATACTCTGCGAAGAGATACAGGCTCTGAAAGAAGTATTTCACTATGTAACACTTCGCCTCAACCTCATCCCTGCTACTGTTAAATCAATGGGAATTTGCTAAACAATAATGGGTGGATTTTTATTGATTGGATGTCTCTTTAAATGGTAAATATTGAACGTAGCGAAAAAGTAGAGAATGCCTTAACTGTAAAACGTCAATAGGGTAATTGGAACATCAATAGGGTATCAACGAAACAATGACATAGCTGGAAGATTGTCGACACTGTGAATAGAAAAATATTGACCAGTTTTTTTGTTGTAACACTCAGCGGATTCTCCATGGGTTGATACTTTGGCACTACTTTAGAAATGCTTAAAAATGCTCAATAAGTATAATCAGTGGAAAGTGATAGCCCAGGATACAAAAAATGAAAGTGCATACGTGAGTGATCCAGTTAATGAACATCTACCCTGTATTCAACCAGCCAGCCGTACCGCTATGATCGGCTTTCCGAAGTGAAAATTCCGTAGAATAATATGATCGTCTTTGGTGTCATTTTTGCTCATCTCATTGTTTTCGAGTCTGTTTCCGGTACGAAATTTCCTATCTTAAATGTTGTATTGCTCGATCTATTGTTGCTTCCCACTGGGAGACGGTAATTGTTCACAGCGATTCTATAAATTTGTGCAGTATTATATGAAATAATAGGTAATGACTAATCGTTGTGCAGTAAGTTCAGGTTGAAATGCATCGGACGAATGCCACTTCAACGCCGTCGATGGCTAACGGCTCAACACCAATGCGATATGCAGCAAATGTGGGCACACCTCAACATGGACGTCGTTCGTTTGTTGCACAGCCGTCTGTTGCATCCACTATGCTACCACCTCAACACACCACCAGAGGTCAGGTTCAGACCAGGGGAAAGAAGAGACGATTCGCCGATAAACTCATTCCTTCGCAGGTTATTTTCCAGTTTCAGTTTTTTTTGTATTCTGTTTTCCTCGTTTAATTGTTCATCGCATTACACTCGTTAATTTTAATCCTCTGCAAGTTTTACATAAGTACGTTATTTTTATATGAATGTTTGACAGTTCTTCCCGTATTCTTAGTATCGTTTGGAACATTAGTACCCGACCTTCTTAATTGCGAGGCTTCTCATCGTGATCTGTGAACTTTCAGAACGGAACTTCTTGTGGTATGAATCATTTTCATAAATTACTTCAAAAATGGAATTGTTCGATTTCAGGTGCGTGAATTAGTTCCGGAATCTCAAGCCTATATGGATTTATTGGCATTCGAACAGAAGTTAGATGCGACAATAACACGTAAAAGACTCGACATTCAAGAAGCTTTAAAAAGACCACTCAAAGTTAAACGACGTCTTCGTATTTACATTTCGCATACATTCATCGCTGGTAAAGAGCCTGAGGTTAGTCTTCAGAATTCGATGTTTTGCAGAATTTTGAATTTATTCAATGGATATGAGTGTTTTATATGTTCATATTGATGCAGTCTTCGTTGGCTTGACTGCAAATAATTTGAGTGATTCTTAGCTAATGTCGCTAGGCTTTAAAGTGAATATGCTTAAATGGTCGGAGTGATATGAAGTAGTTGTAAGCAATGAATAATTGCAGAGAGAAGGTGAAGAAGGGACCGTGCCGATGTGGGAGTTACGTGTTGAAGGGCGTTTGCTCGATGAAACACCCTCTGGTGGTGGTGGTACCAATGCGAACGTCGTATCAACAGTGCCGAATCGAAGTCAGCCACCAAAACGAAAATTCAGTTCCTTTTTCAAAAGTCTCGTTATTGAATTGGACAAGGATATTTACGGACCAGACAATCATTTGGTTGAATGGCATCGTACACCGCAGACCAATGAAACTGATGGTTTCCAGGTTATTCCTTGAAATACAATGTCCTTTATTCCTTTTAAGTATTACTGCTTAATTTAAGTGAGCATTGATAATTTTAGTGTCTGATGGAAGCTTTATAAGCGTTCATGTTTTTGAGTCAGTGACGTTCGCGTTGACGATTTGAACTGGACATTGAATTGGTTTCATTTGAAGTAGCTGATTTCTTCAGGATTGTTCAGAAGATTTTACGAGTATTGATTAACAGAAGTTTAGGTGAAAAGGCCGGGCGATCGAAATGTGAAATGTACGATATTGTTGTTGTTGGACTATCAGCCGATGAAATTCAAATTACATCCTCGTTTAGCGAAGTTATTAGGAATGGCCACTGAAACACGTCCGAAAATTATCGAAGCATTGTGGCAATACATAAAAACGCATAAACTACAGGTTGGATACTGTTGTTTTTTTTTTTAATTTAATTTAATTTATGCGTTGAAGTAATAGAGTCGAGGTGGGTATGGGACCGCAAGTGGTAAACAGAATAATAGTGTGTTTACGGTGGCGTGTTGCAGGATGCAGTGGACAGAGACAATATCAATTGTGATTCTTACTTGGAACAAGTGTTTGGATGTAAGCGAATGCGTTTCATGGAGATACCTCAGCGATTACAAAGTCTTTTGCATCAACCCGATCCTTTAGTACTAACACACACTATTCAGTACAATGAAGGAAGTGAAAAGAACACTGCATGTTATGATATTGGTATGTTTTTGATGGTTATTCATTTGTTTATTTTCATTTCTGGATTTTAATATTACCTCAAAAGCTGGAACAATTCATTGAATGGTGTAAAATGGAATTGCATTCGTTTGAATAGCTTTCTTTGATAGGAATTACATGGCTATTACTTAGAAGGAAGTTAATGTTAGTTACGGTAATGATGTAGTATTCTTGACTTGTGGAAGTTTGATGTTTAGGTCCGGTTGTTATTGATTCTGTTTACATTATCGGTTGATTGAATTGTCTGTTTCCGAAATGTCG